TAGAGAAATGGCTGATAAAGAAGCAAAAGTTTTGTCAATCAAGTCAGGCCATAAGTAGCTCTAAACACATGTTTCGTCCTTTACAATGGCATGCCCATTTTTGGATGACATTTTGACTGAAAATATTTTTATACAAAGGGGGCGTTTTGCCCCAGCGGTGGGGTAAAACACCCCCCAAGGTGGGGTAAAATGCCCCCTTTCTTACCAACCAGTTTCCTTCATAGATCAACAGCAAAATGAACATAGTTTTTGATCTCTAAAAGTAAAAGACAACTAAAAAGTAATGCAACAACATAATATATATATACCTATTAATATTTATTTCAGGAATGTACAAAATAGCCAAATTTATAACATTTGAATATTTTGATTTCTACACGAGGTCTATAATTGATGTAGTATTTGTTCATCACTATCATCAAGATAAACCGAAAAACCTAAATAAATATTAAACATAAATTAGTATATTAATAGTGAAATATATTACATAAATGCATTAAAAGTCACTGTGTTTTATCAGTGGGTCACCTAACCACCTTCCATCATTGCATTCACCAAGCTAGCCAATGCTCACTTGAAGTAATTATTTCATGTTTTGTTCAAATATTTTGATTTTACGGCCTAGTTATACTGCATTAAAGTGTAAAATAAAGACTTTGATGAACAGAAATATGTTACTGTAGTAATTATGATAAAGAGAAACTGTTTTCTCCCACTCCCACTCTACCCTATTGCTTTTCTGGGGATGTGTAACAAAAAAGAGGAGCATTAATAAGCTGTGTAACATAAATTAATCAGCTGTCAGCAGTGTTGGGTAAGTTACTCTAAAAAAGTAATTAATTACTAGTTACTAATTACCTCTTCAACAGTGTAATTAGATTACTGTACTAATTACTCTCTCTTAAAAGTATTTAATTACTAATTACTTTCAAAATCCCATATCAATCTCAACCAGCTGAATAATACAAGGATAGACATGAATCTGTTTTAATTCTTTCAAATAAATACTATAAAATTGCATTAATTATCCTTAAACTGACCAAGGTGGAGAAGGTTACATTAAAACATACTTTTTAGCATCAGACAATAGGCTACATTTTGATGTTAAACCCACTACTGTTTTATGTCTGATCTCATGACATTTAACACTTTTTTCATACATATTTTACAATAATTCATACGAATTTGTACGAGTGCGGTCGTAATATTTAGATTCCTCATAAAATGCATACGAATCGCTGTGAGGTCGGATTGATCTATACACAGTTTTTACCTCAATTACATCAGAAGTAACTGTAAATAAATTACAGATAAATTAAGAGTAATCCCTTACTTTACATTTTCAAGGAAAAGTAATGAAATTACAGTAACTAATTACTTAGTAATTAGTTACACCCAACACTTGAAGTATGGCGCACGTAACTTATCCATTGTAGCATCGATGAATCTGTGATGGACTGTGTGGTTTGTTGAAGAAAACTGTTGACTCCCCCTTATCTGAATTACTTACACCTGGCTTGACATAGCCGCTCCTCCTGAGCCTGGTTTGGCCTTTGTGAAACTGATAAAGCCAGGATGCACTGATCACACTAGGTCAAGCCCAGCTTTATCTCTTATCCTGGATTTCTAAATTCTGCTTTTGTGAAACAGCCCTCTGGTACGTAAATTTGGCATGTGTTCTGCTTATGTTAAGGTAGCTTTATTCAAAGCATTCTGTACACCTCTATATATTGCCCACTTGTGGCGGTCGTACAGCAAAAAGAACATGCAGAGACTGATTGTTGCGTATAACGATGGTATGAGACTGCTTTTAAAACAACCAAGATGGAGTAGTGCCAGTCAGATGTTTGTAAATGTTGGTGTGCCTACCTGTACTGTCTTAATAAGAAATTTTATTTTTCGATACATGTGTAGAATTTCTGTCTCTGAAAACAGGATTATACAAGCTTTAGCCCATAGTGATTTTAGCTCTGTTAGGTTTACATCTAGACTGTGGAGACATTGGCGCACCTGTTTGTATATTGCAAATGAAAGGTAATGAACTTTGTATTTTATATTTATTTATTGCTTGTTGTAACTGGTGTTATGTTTTTGTTTTTTTGTTTTTTGTACTATGGACCTTTCTTTTTGAGTCCTGAATAAAGTAATATTATTATATTATTAATATGCAACTGTAAAAAATGATAAACTTGTCTAACTTACCAACCAGACAGCAACAGCACAAACAGCTGAAAGCAAATGTGTGAAACATTTTCAATAGTTCAGCGGTCTGAAAGAGTGTCAGTCAGTCTGAGAACCTGTGTGTGTGTGTGTGTGAGTGTGTGTGTGCAGTGAAGATGTGTAAAGAACAAGTGTCGACAATCTGAACTATTTGCTAACTTCCTCCAGACTGAATTAGGCCACGCCCCCTGTCTCCAAACACACGCCCTCTCTGAAACCCCGCCCCAATGTTGCGTTGTGTATGACTGCATATCATTAGGTGGTTTGTTTTGTTAGATATTTTAAAGATGAATCTCAGCAGTTGCTTCACTATGAAATTTTGATCTACAAGCATTGATATACAAATAAAATATTCATATTCAAATAATTATTTCATATTGTAGCTTTTCATAATTTTTACATAATTTTCCATTTGTCACACTTCTGACTTCCATTTGTCACACTTCTGACTTCTGACACACTTCTAACGAGTTAATTCAGAAAAACAGCAAAAATAAATTTTCTCATGAAAAATTAACTCATTAATTCAGAAAAACAGAGCAAAAACTTTTTTTCTCAAGAAAAACTAACTCATTAATTCAGAAAAACAGAGCAAATTTTTTTTCTCATGAAAAATGAACTCGTTAATTTAAAAAAAGAGCAAAAACTTTTTTCTCATGAAAAATTAACTCATTAATTCAGAAAAACAGAGCAAAAACTTTTTTTCTCAAGAAAAACTAACTCATTAATTCAGAAAAACAGAGCAAATTTTTTTTCTCATGAAAAATGAACTCGTTAATTTAAAAAAAAGAGCAAAAACTTTTTTTCTCATGAAAAATTAACTCATTAATTCAGAAAAACAGAGCAAAACTTTTTTTCTCATGAAAAATTAACTTGTTAATTCAGAAAAACAGAGCAGATTTTTTTTCTTCAAGTGAATGCAATACGCCTCCGTACGTTAATTCAGAAAAACAGAGCAAAAAATGTTTTTCTCATGAAAAATTAACTCATTAATTCAGAAAAACAGAGCAATTTTTTTTTCTCATGAAAAATTAACTCGTTAAAGCCACAGTGTGTATTTTTTCTGCCTTAAAAATTGCAAAAATAACTGTATCTATGTTATATATTTCTGTTAGATATGTACTTACATTATCCCGACAGTTTCCACCAAATTTCAAATACGGAGAAATTTATAGTTTAATTCGAAGACACGGGACGTTTCTTTATTTCCGTTTCGTCGCCCGTCTATGGCGTCATATTACCTTTGACTCCTCTATTTTCTCTAACTTCTTGCGGAACCCGGCGAAACCGCCAAACACAAAGGGGAACACTGGACTACCGCCAATAAAGCAAAGAAAATGACGAAATAAAAAAGTAGTACGTATTTTTATGTGTGTAAATCACGTGCCCGCTCACGAACGCTCACTCTTAACAGACACACTTTCCCCGGTGCTGCTCGCGCATAAAGCGCTCCCCGTTCACAGTAACCGGTTCGTCTCATTCAAAACAGCCAACTGTTGCTGTTAGCGAGCCACGCACATTGAATACTCATATGAGTCAGACTGCGAATGTACGTGCCCGCTTCAGCTCTCTCATGCTTACTAAATAAACGCCTCACCTCCGGCGCCGCGCACTCACTATATTCCCTTTAGCCTTTAGCACATAGTGGATGCATAACGCAAACCCAGTCAAACGTTTGACTGCAGTATCTTATGTGCTTTATAATCCGGTGCGCTATATATATGAAAAATATTCTAAAATAGGTCATTCATTGAAGTAGCGTAATATTAATATTTATATTCGTCTGTATAATAGTTATGGACCACAATTACGCTTTGCCTGCACGTTCTGCTGCTACAGCCAGCTCATTAGCTAAAGCTCAAACGTACCTGAAAAATATGACCCGAGAAGAGTTTGGGACAGGAGAAGCGTGACACAGGTAAACATTGGGGTTGCATTTAAAGCTTCTTGACAAGCTAAATCTATCCGTATATTTTGTGAAACGATGATGTCATGTCATGAGCTGAGCTGGTTGTCATTGACAGCGACAACAACTCCCGTGAGCCCACGCTCTTTCCCGACGTCATCAAAGTACGTCTTTTGTTATTATTTTAAACGAGTGACCCCTGGTGGCCAAAAATCGCATACTGTACGTTTAATTCAGAAAAACAGAGTAGATTTTTTTTTCTTCAAGTGAATGCAATACGCCTGCGTAGTTTCAATATAGAGTGATCAGTCAAATGACATTATAACTCATTATCACACTACACACCCACAACAAAACTCAGTCACAAAACAAATCACAGTCATTACATTTAGATTAAATGTGTAGTAACTGCATTTTTCCTTTAGACGGCAGCACTGCTTATGCTACATTTGAGAAAGAAAAAAAAAAAAAACGAGAATAGGCCTACAGTTTGTTATCTTTGCTCTCTGTAACTCCCCAAAATGGATGAAAAAGAAACTAATTAACAGGCATCAGACATCTGCATGATAGCATCAATATTTAAACATTAAATTATACAATGCAATTAATCCAGATGTTGACTTATGTGTTTCATAATAAAACAGTGCAGATGTGAAAATCAAGAATAGCTTTTCTTAGTGACTCAAACACTGTCTGCAGGATCACTGCATGTTAATATCAGGTCCAGTGAGCTGCTTTATGCCTATTAATCAAATAATATTTCACCTTTTTTCAAAAATCAACATTGAATTCACTATTTCACAGTTGAAACGGTTTTGTGTAAAGAGGAATTCAAACTTTGAAGTGAATATTAGCAGAACATTAGACAAATACACTCTTCTACATCAAGACATGCACTGACTGACGCACATGAACATCAAACGCCCAGTAATAGACACACATTCACGGACGAGCTTGTCCAACAACACATCAAACCACATTTCTTTCCAGAACTAAAGACACGAGACCACCGCAGGTTTCAGTTTGACTCAACAGAGCCGCTTCTTTAAGTATCACATTCAGTTCACAAAAAGTGACATTTGGTGTCAGATGAAGAGCGGTGTTGTCAAATGATCCCCGTTTACACGATCACCCCGTTTTTGAAAACGATACAGCTATGTCTCTCGTGTAATACGTGATTTTCTGTTGCATTAATTATATTGCAATGAAATCCATATTCAAATGTAATGTCTGCATATAATGAGATGCATACATCATAGCAATCAAGGTATCTAAAAATGTGTAGAATTGCTCGATCAGCACAAAAACACAACTGCTAAGCTAACATGAAGCAGCAGATTGGGTTAAAGACATCAAACGTCATGTAAATGTATAACTAGTCACGTGACAAATGTCGTGACCAAAAATGCCATCGTGGCTGCATTTTTTTTTTTCTTCATTAATTCAATTACTTTGTCAATTATTCCTTACATGTTACATTCTATACTAACAACTAGCACAGTTTGTGCACTGCTTCATCAATAAAAAGTGCTCAATGAACTAAACAATTTTTAACTTCTGGATTTTAAGTCATTCTTGACAACAATGTAGTATTACGCCTATATTTGATGACAGTTTTCCAGGGCATTGTTATAAAGATTCAGTTCTATTCTGTGTTTCCATAGTCTCTACGTCATAGCTAACAAAGTCATTTTAACTCTAGCCCAATGTTTCATGTGTATCAGTCAACTTGGTCGTTTGTGTCGTTAATGTGTGAGTCCCAGCTGTGATAATGTTGCATATTGCATTGGTTTCATGTTTCACATATTATTTTGTTAATATCACCCTGCTGTCTGGTATGAGAATATGGTTCATCTGTGTGAGGGTTTGATCTTCTCTGCCTTTCATCTTTTCTGGGTCTGATGTCATAAACCAGCACAACGATGGTAGCCACGCCCACCAGAGCAGAGAGAGCCAATCGGATCACAGCTTCAGTAGAACCACAACAATGGACAGCTTCTGAAGGAAGGTAAGAACAACAGAGATGGAATTTAGTATTTAAATAAACACTCAAACATACTTTGACACTCTGTCTACAACACAACTCGACAAAAGACAACAGATCCCATTATAATCAGTGATGCCATCTACAGTTGTGTTCCCACTGCCAGCGACACAGCAACAAAGCGACAGTCTTATTCATTTCAATGAAGAGCCGGCGATTTCCAACGACAGTGACCATTGGCATGCCTACAGCGAACGTCCGGTTTGGACTACATCACTCTACTTGATTGCTCACACTATACATGTGAAATAAACATTGGCATATTGCATATTGCACGGCGTAGTCGCTCAAGTTAAAGAAAAATGTACACATCCAAGCTCAGAATGGATCCAAATGGATTGCGTCTGGTGTAGATTGTGTGATACTTCGAACTATAATACGGAACATATATTTTGAAACGGCAACTACTTATTTGTAATGTATTTTAACACAAAGTTAAACAAATCAGAAGTGAGAAAACATGTTTTTGTAAAGATATTGACTTGGACTGTATATATTATGATTAGGGTTGGGTATCGAGAATCGAGTATCAATTGGAACCGGGACTAACTTTTCGTTTTTCCCGGAATCGTTCAAAAGTTAAAATTTCGATTCCTAGTTTCGATATTCACAGTCCGCCGAGCGGAAGAAGAAACCGCTGAACAACACCAACGAAGAAGCGTCTACCGGAAGTGTTGGCATAACCACGCGAGTCGAACATGAGTACCTTACGTCGGCGATCCAAAGTGTGGCTTCACTTTTCTAAAAATAACAAAATCTCGGCAAAATGCAAAATTTGTGACAAAAGGAGTATTTTTACAAAAGGAGTATTTTTACAGAAGGAGTGTTTCCTTCAGAAAGACCGTTGGTTAGCAAGGCTAGCTAAACTTTTTTGACCCTGCCTCTTAAAAGAATCGGAATCGAGAATCGTTAAGAACCGGAATCGAAACAAGAAATCGCAATCTGAATCAGAATCGTTCAAATTCAAACAATACCCAACCCTAATTATGATCATCATCTAAATTACATACAAAAAATGAAAACTGGAAAGAAAAATATACATAATCTAGCTGAAGACGATCTACAAAGCTCAGCTCAGTCAATCGTAAATATCCCTTCTAATGCAACCTACCTGAGCATGGCTGACAGAAATCAATGTTGTTAATATGCGTAGTCCAGTTGGTGAATGAATAAGCCACCACACAGCTATAGGAATCATTTAAACACTCGATCTCCAGAGGTAGAGAGAGACTGATGCTGAGATCAGACGCACCGATGCTGGACAATACACTCATTCCTGCGTACCAGGAGAGAGTCACATCACTCACATTCACCACTGAACACACCAGTGAACATGATGATGATGATGATGAGTTATTGCTGATGAAGGGAACAGGTAGACGAGCTGAAAAACACGAGAGAATAATATTAAAAACAGTGAGAGTTTTAAAAGAAAAAAAATCAAAGCAGCAATGACCTACAGCAGCAGACAGTGTTGTGTACTCGAGATTCGGACTCGGTCTCGAGTCCATATTTTAATGTTCTCGGTCTTGTCATGGACTCGTGTGCATTTTGACTCGGAATTGACTCGTACTCGAACATATTAGGACTCGGACTTATTCCCGAGTCCACTCGAGTCCCATTCCAAATATGTCATGATTATTGCTGTATGTTAATATTTCTTTAAATTGTTTGATTGAGACGTCCAATGATTGCTGACTTTCTTGTGCGCAACTGCGCATGACTTGAGACTATAATGTTCGCGGCATGCAAATGCAGCAAGACCCAGGTCAGATGTGATGTGGAGCCTCTAGCTCAACTATGTACTGAAAATGTCTGCCTTATCATCACTAATTCAGTTTGCATATAAGAGCCACACAGAATCCGTGTGCAGTAATGTTATGTTAAAGAGCACTTACTGATTGTAATAATTTTAATTGTAATAAAATTACCTTTACACCACTATGTGGCCTTTTTACCATTAGAGTGTACATGATTCCATGAGATATTTGGTTTACTGTTTAAGTATGGTGCCAATTTTATTGTTACCACCAAATATTTTACATATTCTTTAAGATATCTTTAAATCTGGTTTGAGACCCAACCTTAGGTTATCCAACCTCTCTGGTCTCGGTCTCGACTTGGACTCGACTGTCTTTGGTCTCGGTATCGACTCGGACTCGATCCTCTATGGTCTCGACTCGGACTCGATCTTCTATGGTCTCGGTCTCGACTCGGACTTGACCCTCTTTGGTCTCGACTCGGACTGGACCCTCTTTGGTCTCGATCTCGACTCGGACTTGACCCTCTTTGGTCTCGACTCGGACTTGACCCTCTTTGGTCTCGATCTCGACTCGGACTTGACCCTCTTTGGTCTCGGTCTCGACTCGGACTTGACCCTCTTTGGTCTCGGTCTCGACTCGGACTCGACCCTCTTTGGTCTCGATCTCGACTCGGACTCGACCCTCTTTGGTCTCGATCTCGACTCGGACTCGACCCTCTTTGGTCTCGATCTCGACTCGGACTCAACCCTCTATGGACTCGGTCTCGACTTGGACTCGACCCTCTTTGGTCTCGGTCTCGACTCGGACTCAACCCTCTATGGACTCGGTCTCGACTTGGACTCGACCCTCTTTGGTCTCGGTCTCGACTTGGACTCGACCCTCTTTGGTCTCGGTCTCGACTCGGACTCAACCCTCTATGGACTCGGTCTCGACTCGGACTCGACCCTCTATGGACTCGGTCTCGACTTGGACTCGACCCTCTTTGGTCTCGGTCTCGACTTGGACTCGACCCTCTTTGGTCTCGGCCTCGACTCGGACTCGACCCTCTTTGGTCTCGGCCTCGACTCGGACTCGACCCTCTTTGGTCTCGGTCTCGACTCGGACTCGACTCTCTATGGACTCAGTCTCGACTCGGACTCTACTGTCTTTGGTCTCGGTCTCGACTCGGACTCGGCTGTCTTTGGTCTCGGTCTCGACTCGGACTCGACTGTCTTTGGTCTCGGTCTCGACTCGGACTCGATCATCTATGGTCTCGGTCTCGACTCGGACTCGACCCTCTTTGGTCTCGGTCTCGACTCGGACTCGACCCTCTTTGGTCTCGGTCTCGACTCGGACTCGACTCTCTATAGTCTCGGTCTCGACTCGGACTCGACCCTCTTTGGTCTCGGTCTCGACTCGGACTCGACCCTCTTTGGTCTCGGTCTCGACTCGGACTCGACCCTCTTTGGTCTCGGACTCGACTCTCTTTGGTCTCGGTCTCGATTTCAGACTCGACCCTCTTTGGTCTCGACTCGGACTCGACCGTCTCTGGTCTCGGACTCGACTCGGACTCGACTCTCTATGGTCTCGGTCTCGACTCGGACTCGACCCTCTTTGGTCTTGGTCTCGACTCGGACTCGAGTGAGCTGGTCTCGACTACAACACTGGCAGCAGACACAGCAATGACCAACAGCAGCAGCAGTAATAACCTATAGCAGCAGCAATAGTAATAACCTACAGCACCTACAGGTTTTCTTTCATCTGTAACCTGTTAATATGAGTGCCAAATACACCTTACACTTATGTGAAAAACAGAAAAACAGGCCTAAGACCTAGGCTGAGTTCAACAACCCACTGATGCACATACAGTATTCAAACGAATGCAAACATAAATCAAAGATGCACAAAATCATTTAGTCATTTTTCAGTTTTATTATAAAACAACTATGACAAATAAAGTGCCTAAAATACTAAAATGTACTGTATACTAACCATAGACAGCAACACTGAATCTGTGAATGATCTTTGCCCTGATTTGATAATCTCCGGAGTCTGTGGTTCTGGTGTTCATGATGGTCAGAGATCCAGTTTGATGATCCAGCTTCAGTCTGTCTCTGAATCTCCCATCAGGACCATCATATGTTGAGAAGATTCCAGTCCCTTTGTTGATTGTAGCTATTGGAGATTTGTCCGATCCAAACCGCCATTGTATCACATCATCAGCCTGTAGTTCAGTATCAGTGTTTAGAGTGATTGAATCTCCCTCCATCACTGACACTGACTTCACTGGATCTGGACCAGCAAACACTGGAGAACAGACACAGAATGAAGTTCTTATCGAAGCAAACATTATTTGTAATGTTGGTTTGATAAAACTTTAGTAATTCTCTTTTGGAAAAATTTGAACACTGAAACTGCAGTGGAATATAATCTCTAAAAATTATTATGTTATAGAGGGTATGTAAGGAAAAGAAGTGATTTAAAATTCAAACCCGATCACACTTGATTAAACCTTCATGCTTTTCAGTTTTCAGTAACATCAGTTTAAGAACTTGTAACGACTGCAATATTAACAAAAATATGCAATATTCTGCATATTAACAAAGTTTGAGTAAATAGAACATCATAGTCATACAACAGTAGGTGTTTAATATAAGATCACAAACCTGAATCCGGCCTAGATCTCACAGTGATATAAATATGCCAGGATTATTATCATAAAAACAAGTTTATAACTTACCAGCCAAACACCAAAAGCAAAGACAGCAAAAAACAAATGAGTGAAACATTTTCTGAAATAGCCTCACTCAAAATGTTAGCCAAGATAATCCGAAAATGTTGTAGTTTGAAGGAAAATTTTGTAGACACAGGAGTAATACTATTTTAGGCTGACTGAGTGTGAGTGTGTGTGTGTGGTAGAGAGAGAGAAAGAAAGGGGGGTGTCAGTCATGTGACTTCTAGTCATCTCTCTACCCTTTTCATTGAATACACATATTTTAGCAATGATTTTCATCTAATCACCACCGACCACCCAAACACACCACTGATACCGCTGCTTACAAGACATAGTGAAAGCTGTTTACTAAACCAACACACACACAATGATATGCCTTCTAGAGTTTTTGTAAATTCTTAGCTACTCTGGATTGTCTATTTTCATTGTGTTTTTAATAGTTTCATATCATGGTCAGTAAGTCTACATGTGCATGCACGCCACATCCATCAAAAAACAGGTCAAACCACATCTCTGCAAAATGACTAAGACCACAGCAGGTTTCACAAACACAGTAGCCTAGAGCATAATGCCATCTCTGCAGGGTAAACACTATTCGGGATTGGCAAACATCCTTTTGACACATTTCTGAAACAAATATGTAAATCTAGCATTTTTTTTTTGTTCATTTTCATATAGGCTATGTAATGTAGCCTACATATGACACTATACGGTGTTCAAATGTTAGTGTGTCAGTAAATGTGTCATCTTTCTCTGCCTTCTTGCTCCCCACTGTTATTGATCTATATTTCGTTTTTTGGATTTATTTGGAAACACAATAGATATATTATTTTCGTTCGGGACGTTGTCTCTGAGGGGGCAATTATACACCACACAGGAAGTTTGTGAGTGAAGCGCAGAAAAGCGCATCCCTTCCCTCTCTCAGTCAGAGGCTCGACCACATGGTTGCATGAGCGCCTTCTACTGACGGAATCTACAATAGGAGAAAGTCATATTTGGAACGACATGACATGAGGGTGAGACATGATGAAAGAGTTGTCATTTTTAGGTGCATATACCTTTAAGATACATTTTAAAGTGTGTCCTGAACACCGACTCATGTAAGCCTGTGAAATACGATTGAATTTGTGGCGGAGCTGCACGTGCTGGCTGCAGCCAGGGCTGCGTTCAGCCCTGACAAAACGTTGCACAACGTTTTTCAAACAGAAACAGTGATGCGTTGAACACCCCGTTCTGATGACGCAGAGTTGCAACTATGGAGCCCGATAAGGCCATTCTCTGTGTTTGTGAAAAATTTTCAAAGCCTGTTGAAATCGGTATAAATATTTGTGTAATACTACAAAATATACCTGATGTTACAGTTACTGCACTTGCGCACCGTTTTGAACTTGAACGTGCCCCAGGTGTTCTCTGCCATGGCAACCGCAGTCACCTGAGGACGTGCCCCTCCCTAACGTCACATGGTCTTTTTATGATACTTTCACACAAGTATAACTTCTTTGAGAATATCCACTGCACTCATCCTAGAACCGCCCCTAAATTGTACCTACAAATCGAGTCACGACCTTTTTTTGCTTTTACTTTTTATTAATTTTACGGGAGAGAAGATACTTTCAGTAACAGATTTGGCAAATCAAATAAATCCATCAGCAGTCGGCAGAGAGTCTTCTGTTGAGCGTCGAGTTTTCATTGATTTTATCTGTCATCGGAACGACTGACAGCGACACAGCGGAACTGCACTGACCATCTTCATAAACTCAGATTTTACTGATCTACACAGCAATATGAAGACCGTGTTGTTGTTCTTTGTGTTCTATGTGCCCATGGACGGTAAGCTTTATGTTTATTTCACTTTTTAAAATCCTAATCGTTTCCTTTCTTTCATTCATTTTATATTCTTTTTCACAGTTTCTTTATTAATGGATGGATGAGGATGGTTGTTTGGAACGCCTAACTCCTTTTTTATGTGTATATAAGTGTGATACATATGTATGTATATATGTGTATAACCTATGTATATAGGTTATACTTTACAATATGGTTTTATTAGTTAACATTATTAACTATTGTTAACATGACCTAAGAATGAACAATACTTAGGCTATACAGCATTTATTTAGCTCAGTAATGTTAATTTCAACATTTACTAATACATTATTAAAATCAAAACTTGTATTTGTTAACATTAGTTATAGCACTGGGAACTAACATTAACACTTTAGACCCTCCCTCCTCCTCATCTGCACTGACCCCCCCAAACCCCACCCCCAGGGCCTTCTTGTCAGTGATTGGCTGGAACAGTTTGTTGTGTTTCGCACAACAATACACATTACTTTGTCCTGCTGACATGTGTTTTGTATTTAGGAGTTGTATACAATTCACGAGCACATAATGAGAATCAAAGACCTTTACAAAATTAGATTATTGTTTACCTTACCCATTTTGTCAGCCTATTATTATTATTAACATAAACTATGAAATTAGTTTTTTAAGCAAGACTAAAATGACTTAATCTGTATGCTGACAATTTACATTTAATTATTTAGCAGATGCTTTTATCCAAAGTGACTTACAAAATGAGAAGAACAATAGAAACAAATCAAACCAACAAAAGACAAACAATATGTAAATGCTGTGACTAGTCTCAGATAAATAGCATAGTAAGTGTTAGTATTAATGGGTCAAGTGTTGATGGCACCACATGGCGTTGTTCATTTGCAGAACACAAGATCCTGGAGGGCACATAAGTCTGTTTATAATTGTATAGTTTATTTTTGTCTAACTGTTCCTTTTGTATCTGCAGGTGTGTTTGGTGAGTCAGTGTCAGTGATGGAGGGAGATTCGGTCACTTTACACACTGATCTTCCAGAAATACAGAGAGATGATGTGTTGGAGTGGAGGTTTAGAGCTGAAGGCTTCCGCATTGCTCAAATCAACAGAGGAGCCAATACGAGCAATATATATGATGACGTTCCTGATGTGAGTTTCAGAGACAGACTGAAACTGGACAATCAAACTGGAGATCTCACCATCACAAACATCAGAACTGAAGATGCTGGACGTTATGAAGCAACCAGCACCAAATATACTTTAAACAAGGTTTTCATTGTCACTGGTGAGTATTTAATTTTTTAATGTTAGAGTATGCTCTGGTTCTCATATGCCTGGAAATGGTCATGAATAGCAGCTAAATAGATGTGATTATTTAGCCATAGAAGCGTTTCTCTATAACCACAACACACGGGAGACTTTTCATGTGCACTAACCTCTGTAGGGTCGCAAGTGTTGTCGCTTTATCCAGGAGATCTTCAAGGGTTGAAATGTGGTTTTGGACCATTGATGGTCTGTACAGTGGCAGTATGAGTTGCAGTAACTGTCCCTCTTTCTTCTCCAGTGTCAGCTAATCCAGTGTCAGTGCTGGTGGGAGATTCAGTGACTCTACACACTGGTGTTCCTGAACCACAGAGATATGATGTGATTCAGTGGAGGTTTGGACATCTAAACTCTCCTATTGCTGAAATCCATAGAAAGACTAGAAATTACTTTACATCTAAAACTGATGGGAGATTCAGAGACAGACTGAAGTTGGACTATTGGAGTGGATCTCTGACCATTACGAACACTGAAAACAAACACTCTGGAGTTTATGAAGTTGAGATCAGTGTCAGCAGACACACCATACACAAGTCATTCAATGTGACTGTCATTGGTGAGTAGCTTGTGCCTTCCAGGCCTGGTATCACAGTCATGGTTTAGATTACGCCAGGATTAGGCCTTAGTTCAATCAGGACATTTAAGTATCTTTTATAAATGTGCCTTAGAAAAAATATTACTGATTTTCATCTTGAGACAAAACATTGGTTTTGTGCAAAAGTGCAAGTTGCTTTCTGTTAAAACAGCTCAAACATGAATATTAGTCTGGAACTAGACGCAAGCCTTGTGTGTTGGTCATTAATTTAATTTACACCATTAGAAAATATTATTATTATCATTATTATTTAATATTATTAAAATTATTGTTTGCACTCTATAGTTTAAGGCTAAAACAGATACATATCTTGAACTATTGCAGTAGTTTAATACCTATTGTCCTGAAACTCTCTCAGGAAAGATTTGTGCAAAAAAAAAAATATTGATTTGTAAATGGCGCACTGACAGGACAACATTTAAAACATTTTTGTTTTTTAAACTTACAGTAATGTTAAAGTCGGCTTGTGCTGGTCATTTTTCTTCCAACTCATCTATCTTGCAAATAAAGCTCAAGAGTTGCAGAAGTCAAGTAATTGAACAAAGCAACAAAGGCGAGAGATGTCTGCAGAACATCTGAATCTTCCTTTGTCCAAAACAAAATTATCATAGCCTAGCCTTTTCTTCTCTGTAATTTTGCAACAACTAAGTGGCATAACGTCTAGTTGGATTCACTTCTATTAATATTCCCACAACTAAATTCTACATCTTTTGCCTTTCTCTCTAATTGTTGTATTCTGCCAATCGATAGTCAACCCTCTTTCATAGGCAAAATGTAACATTCTCCAAGGACAATCAACTCTTCTCAGAGGCAAGACACCTCTTAACAATTATCTTATTCTCGCACATCACCTGTTTTTTACTGGAAAGTCCCTGATTTGACCTTTGTAGTCAAAGTCACATCAGCCATAAGGCCATAAAAACACAAATGACTTTTACTAGTTCTACAAATTGCTTTCTATAGAATATTCAACATTTGCGATTGGTGTATAATATCTGAGTGAAAGGTTGCCCCGCCCTCATACCAGTAAACGCATCATCAGAGAAGATAAAGGCAAGAGGGAAAGCTATTTTGATTCAAGATTAGAGGCATGGGAATTTAAAACAAATAATGATGTGGACAGATAAATCATCCACAATAAATACTGCTATATTCCATAATAATAAAACAGGAATTAAAATTTTGATCAGTCAATACATTTTTATTCCATGGTGTTGATGTGTACGTGTGTGGAAGCACATTATTGTTTCATGGCTTTAGCAGGGACTGCTTGTATTTTATTTTCAAGTATGGCCTTTTAGTGGCTATTTTGTGTGAGCAAAACGTTTTTACATCAGACACACACAGTCACTTGATCTTTTATGGTCAAGGTCAAGTTTATTTATATAGCACGTTTACAAATAGTCACTACTGCCCAGAAGTGCTGTACAGATACAGAAAAAACAGCATAAAACAACATACAATAAAGCATAATAAATAACCTAATAAGATCCTTATAAAACAATACATGTAAAAAAACAGTAAAAACAGACAACAGATAAAAACTATCTTTAAAACAATACTGAAAAAAAGTAAAAAAAAAAAAAAAAAAAATTCTGTCAAAAGTTGGTCAAATTTCTCTTCCTTCTATTTATTAGTGAGTGTTTTTTTTTTTAACTACAATGTTTGTATGTATGCATTTCATTCTCTGTTCTTGTGCATGTGTGTATGTTATTACAGGTGAAATGAGGACCGTGTCAGTGGTGAAGGGATTTTCAGTCTCATTACAGGCTGGTCTTACTGAAATACAGACAGGTGATTTCATAACGTGGATGTTTGGAGACATTGTCCTAGCTGAAATGTATAAAAACCAGTCCTCGGTGGGCCAACTATTCTATACATATGATGGTGCTGAGGAAAGATTCAGAGACAGACTGAAGCTTAATAACCAGACTGGATCTCTCACTATAACGCAATGCCAAACCTCAAACTCTGGACTCTATGAACTGAAGATCAACCGACATGCCAAATACCTGAGATTCACTGTTACTGTCAGCGGTGAGTCGATCGAGACAGTCAAGTGTAATCCGAGCTCTGTAAACAATCCTAAAGTTAAATGAACAAATTTAAAATCATTTGAATTGTTAAACATCTTTAATTATCTTTCACTGTTCGTTCATCTCTCAAAAGAATTGTGGTACAAATTACTGAAATATGTGTAAAGGACACTACGCTATACAGAAAATATAACCTCATTATTGTCATATTAAAAGCAACGTTTGATTCTCAAGAATCATAATTGTTCTAGTGTATAGTGTGTATTTGTTAAAAAAAATGTAATACTAGTATTTATAACTTTCTCAGACAATAAAACACAGCTTTTCTTTTTATTGGAAGAAACGTACAGTGATCATTCTTGTTAGTTATCTATGAGCATGTCAGAGCCCATGACATCTGCAGTAAATGCTTTAATACACTGACATGTTTCAAGAGGTTTCAAAACTGTTTCATCTGCATTTACTGCTTATAATGAGTTAATTGAAATCAGCCCTGCGTTCACATCGAAGATGAACACTGTGAATAAGAAAATCGTAATATCTAAAAATTATATTAGAGGCCCATTTATGATTCAAATTAAACAGAATCAGATTTACATTTGCTGTTTTTTCAAAGTGTTATAGTCAGACTCATTCACTCATACTAATTACTGTCTCTTTGTCATTGCAGTATCAGGTCTGTCTTCAGGTGAAATAGTGGGGATCTTTGCCCTGCTGTTTGTAGTTGTAACTGCTGTTGGGACTGCTGTTTACCACTGCCGCAAGAACTCTAAACTGAAACGTAAAGTACATCATATTATGGTTAATAATGTTCAAGCAGCTTTGCTAGACTGCAGTAGAGTTTGTTTAAATTCAGGTGGACGGTTGCATAAACTACTTAAATTAGTCTTACAGGATGCACGGCCTAATTAGAATGTGAAAAACGAACTAACTTCTAGATGGTCAGACTATATTTTAGGACGTTCTTGGAACTGGGTTGGGTTTCACCAGCTATTCATACGTTGGAATGTAAAGTCCACACTGAAAGACTAGACTACTAACTTGTTTGTAACTGTCATGATTCCTGTCTTGTGTTTTCCTACTTTGGACTTTTGTTATTTCCTTTTCTATGCCATGTTTTTTATTCCTTTGTAGTATTTCTTGTTTATTAATCTCCCTAGCAGTTTCTTATTAACCTCTTTGCTTCAGTTGTTGGGTGTCGGTCGTTGTTTATGTTTCCTGTAGCTGTCTTTCTGTCCTGAGTTTCCCTGTTTTCCCTGGATTACCTGTCTGTGTTATTAAAGTGCGGCTATTGGATTCACAATTGACACACCTGACAGTAACTAACTCCACTCTATTTGGTTGTACCATTTGATTCTTTAGGCAGAACTTGGCTTGTAGGTCATAAGCTCTCCGTAAAGTAAACACATGTTTACCTTCAATAATCAGAACTTCATGAGTTGAACTTCTTTTGCCAAATGTAACAAACTGTAAAATTTCCATTAAATAAGATACTACTTAATCATAAATAACATTATCATTCATATTATTAATAAACTATATTTGAAAGAAAATGAATAAGGATCAATGAATAATGATACCAAAAAAACAAACTTAAGAAACTTTATTTATCATAACTGATTTTATTTGTTATGCACAACATAGAGCGTTGCACACAGAGGCTGTTTAGGCTGTAGCAGGTTTGTGTTGAAGAGTCATTTATTCACAAAATGATCTCTCTCTTGAAATGTCTAAGCTATCAGCTGTGTATCAGCCTTATCATAAAAGGAGGATTGAAGTCTGTTGGAAAACACAAGAGCTTGATGCAGTTCAGTCAGTCTGCTTTTTTACTCCTGATCGGAGGCTTGTGTAAATATTTAGTTTTTAAATACAGTTACGTTTTAATGGCACAACTGAAAAATCCTTAGTAGTGTGCAAGTTGTAACTTGGTGCCTTTTTACGTCACATTTAAACTTTCACACAGCTGGTGCAACCGGTCTCTGGGCTCAGGTTTCAAATAGTTTATCAAACTGTGTGTGTATCTACTTTATGGCATGCCCTGTTGAAGCTGGTTACTTGTTTTTGCTGATCTCCTCCCAGTCTGGTCTGTTAGCTGGTTTTAGAGTCATTTTTGGGCCACTTTTGAACTGGAAGACCAGCTTTAACAATCTCAGTCTATCTTAAATAGCCCAGGCTGGTTTCTTTTGTGCTGTGAGTGTGAATGGGGTTTACTGTTTATAGGGTTTAATGATCAATTACTATGAGTAGTTGAGAGATTTGGAGCGAATGATCAGTGCTGATTTTCTCATTCTGATTTCTGTATTTCTCTCTCTGTTTCTGTGTTTGCTGGTCCAGATCCAGTGAAGTCAGTGTCAGTGATGGTGGGAGATTCAGTCACTCTAAACACTGATACTGAACTACTGACAGATGATCAGATCATGTTGATATTTGGAGATGAAAACTCTCCTATAGCTGAAATCAAAAGAGGAGATATCTTTACCTATAATGTTATTGATGAGAGATTCAGTGACAGACTGCAGCTGGATCATCAGACTGGATCTCTGACCATCATGAACATCAGAAACACAGACTCTGGAGAATATACACTAAAGACCAGAAGTGGAAATAACACATTAAAGAGATTCAGTGTTTCTGTCTTTGGTGAGTAAAATCTATTTAAAAATAAGGACTATGATTTACAGAGTAATCATGTGAGTTCAAATAGTTATTCTTGATTATAACTGTTTTTTCTTCATTCATGAACTGCAAGAATCTCAGTCTTAGTGATGCTGTGAAATTTTGTTTTCACAATGTTTTTACTGTTATTTACTGATCAAAAATAATTGTTCACGGTCACATTTAACACCTTCCCCCATCCGTTCCCTCTGATTGTTTTCATACATGCAGAAAACTGAAGAGATCTCACGTTTGATCTTGTTGTTTGGCTTTTCTCTTTGATTTAGTTCTACTATAGCTTATATAATGCAGCATTCAGCAGAAGTATTGTAATATAATGATGCTGTATATAATATCAATGACCATCAATATGGTCGATATCAGTTGCACTGGGCATTGATTCATGTCTGGACTAAACCAGATCTGTGTGTGACACTGAAGATACGCGTCAGACCATTCTGTTTGCTTGTAATAAAAAACAAAGGACACAAGGACATAAATCTTGTATAATTAGTTTTAATTATAAGAATAAGAATACAATTCTGCCCCTCAGTCTACTGATAGAATAAAACAAATTCTTATGTTTCATCTGCAGTTATGATAAAAGTGACAAAAAAATGTACACTAAAGTTAATCAAAATAAGACCTGTAGAATTGTACAAACACACAACCAGGAGAGAAAACAAAGCAAAATGTAGAACAAATTAAATAGTTTGATCATAAGTTCTGACCAAACCTGTTCCCTGACAAAATGAAATACACTCATGTCTACCGGTTCAGTGAATTAATTCCAAAATGATGGACCAAAACATGGATCGCAACATAAATGCATGAACTGAGCCATTTAACTTGTACTTTGTATAATAGATTTATAGCTACATTTACATTTATATAATGAGAGAGGCTGAGTTCATATGGGATACTGAGTGTTGCTTTAGCTGCTTATTACTATGGTTTGTTTTCTTGTTCTAAATTCTCTACTATATTTTCGGTTTCTGCTGCTGTTTCAGATGAAATAAAGTCAGTGTCAGTAATAGAGGGAGAACCCGTCACACTGAACACTGATGTTGAACTACAGACAAATGATGAGATCCTGTGGATGTTTGGAGACAAAGACATCGGACATTTGGCTAAAACCAAAGGAGGGACCAGAGGGACCACTACAAGTCATGGTCCTGATGGACAGTTCGGAGACAGTCTGAAGCTGGATCATCAGACTGGATCTCTGACCATCACAGACATTGCAGACGCATACTCTGGAGAATATAAACTACAGATCATCAGAAGTAGAAAAAAGTCATTCAAGTTATTCAAGGTTTCCGTTTCTGGTGAGTAACTCAAATTTTCCAGTGGAACAATGATCTTATTTTAGATCAGCAATGCGCATTTATCTTCCTGAAGATCTGCATAGTTTAGTTCCAACCCTAATCAAACACACCTGTTTGAAACGATCACATTCTCTTGAAGATGTTAGCTGCTTGAGGTGTGTTTGATGGAGGTCGGTGGTGAGATTCTCAGGAAATACTGTTGTGGCAAAAATCCAGTTAAACATCATCACTGCGTAAGAGACACTCAGAGTCAAATTAATAAAGAAGACATCTATATTTTACTCATGGAATAGGTTCAATGGAAACACATGGCTCAGACTACCTAGTAATCTTCACTAATGATTAAAATATGGGAAAGCAAGGCTTTCATTATGAAGCGTTTGGGGCTTTCATCAAATTGTGCCGATAAACAGTTTATTACTCAAAGCTTTTAACACAATGCGCATAAGTGACATCTGATAGTCAGACTTGTTTTCTTCACTATATCTAACAAATCTATGGCAAGCCGTTTTAACATTTAATCACTTTAACCAGTGGTGGAATGTAACGAAGTACAAATACTTCGTTACTTTACTTAAGTACATTTTTCACGTATCTTTACTTTACTTAAGTAGAATAAATAGTGCCTACTTTTTACTTTTACTTCGTTACATTTCGCAGCAATTATTATACTTTCTACTCCACTACATTTCTACAACTTCTGTTACATTTTCGTTACATTTTCTGATCAGTTTTTCCCCTGCCAAAACGTAATCTGACCGTCCGTTCGTTGCACGTTTGTCTCACCAGTGACATTTGGTTGCCATAGATACAGTATATCAACCCGGTCACACTAAATGCGTCTCGCACGCAGTGTGTTTATCATGCAACTCATACGCGAAAATTTGTTTTAACGTGCATAGGAAACGCACCGTGTGTAATATATGTTTGGTTTGGTTAGGATTATGGCAAGCCAAGAGGTTCAGAATTACACCATAAATGAATCGCGTTTACTGCCAAACATAGTTATTAACATATAGTAAGGATAAGCACGATATTGCCTAATTGCAAGCTTGTTTCAGAAATGGTGACATTTTTTTCCATCATTATTGAACATCATTATAGGAGTAGGCTATTAGGTTGAATGAGTTAGAATTAAATGTTTTATTAATCATTAGAAAATAGACATTAAGATAATAAATTGTTATGCAAGTACTTTTACTTTTAATCCTAAAGTACATTTAAAATAAAGTACTTTTTACTTTTTACTTAAGTATGGTTGTCATTGTGTTACTTCTACTTTCACTAAAGTAAATATTTATCTGGGTATTTGTACTTTTACTTAAGTACTCAGATTCAGTACTTCCTCCACCACTGACTTTAACCTACTAGTCTCTATTTTCATGCTACTAGTACTTATTTTTTAGTCTCTATTCTTTAGATGCCAGTACTTATTCATTAGATACTTATTCATTAGATACTAGTGTCTATTAACCCTCTAGGCACCAAGGTTGAGTTTACTCGTCAAGATGCGGCACTGGATAAAACGGCCGATTTTGTCAAATTGGGTGTCAAATTTCGTTCGACATCCCCTCAGCTGGATGGCAGACATGTCATACTTCATCCCCGACTCAAAAAAACGTCATGTTTCCATACAAAATGTTTGAAATTTTTGCGTGAAACAAACTTTTGTGCCTGCTGCCTACACGCGTCACCACCGAGCGCCGACACACTAAAGGAGATACTGACCCCTAGAGGGAAGATAAGGAAATGCACCAGTAAATTAATACAATACTATAGAACAGAGATAGAATAATTATACTAGATATATATGAAATGTCTTTTGACTGGAAATTACATCGGCAATGACCTACAAAAAATATAAACAACCTTTTTTCTTTTTCGCTGCAAATCAGTCCAAAAGCTGTAGCTTTTTGCAGACTCCAATCTTTAACAGGAAGAAAAACAGTCTTGCACAAGAACTCTAGCCTGACTTCGTCGTACTCATATTCTAGTGAGAATATGAGTCTGAAACTCCTCCATTGGGCTTTGATTATGAGGCGTGTCTCAACCAAACCAGGAAAAAAAACTCTGCACTCAATTGGATAGTCGGTAGACCTAAGTCAACTTTGCATACAGTTATATACTTATTTTAGAGGTTAAATAACGAGTATTGCTTCTTTTACTTACTTCTCCATGAGTGTGACCAAAGGAGAAACCACAACGACCACAGGCTTTTCATTACGTCCCATCTTCTTAACGACAGTCAGGCCAGCTGCATCCAGGCTACAAGAACTCCTGTGATGGTTCCCAATTCACATACTATCCGTCCTAGTGTTCAAAATTAGTATTAGTGTGTCCCAAATCATAGTATGTTGAAATGAGTATTCTAAAGATTAACACTCTGTGCCAGACAAGGATTCGATTAGAACTACAAACTACAATGGAAGCGTTTCAGGAGTTCAGAAACACTGACACTGATATAGAGAAGAACTCTCGCTGGAGGGACTTTGCAGAGCTTTTTAATGCTTAAACCTCAACATTACACACTGAAGAAAGATGAACATAGAAAAAAGCTGAATATTTTAAACTTAATGACTTCAGATGGTTTAGATATTGTATTAGTTATATTTTTGCTACACATTTCACTGGTCATCCTCCATAAAAAGCAAAGATTTTCATGAGTCATCTGTCTGTGTTTTCATTCAGGTCCCACTGCACTCGGAAGTATTTCAGAGAAAAGTCGTTTATTGCCGTCAAAGAACCAAGAGCAACTAAATCTGACTGTGTTATCGCCTCCCATCAGCAGTGCCTCTGCCAAAAAACTGCTCTTGAGCACACCAACAGTCTTTTGACTACCAAGTTTATAGATGTATGTTACTGTATATTGTTTGTTATAAAGTTAGGTTTTAGGGGAATTTTTCACTGTCAGTATTGTTTTACATTTGAGTTTCTTTTTTAATTTTTTTAATTTTAAATAAAGAAAACATGAGATATGTTGGTTTGAGTCTGTTTGTTATTTTAAAATTTGTTTTATGCAATTTTATTTAATTTTCATTTGAGAGTTAGGCCTGAGTGCATGCCTCTCTCCTCTGCCCTGGGCATAAAGCAGTGATGCCTATATACAAGATTCATAAATGTACATCAAGTCAGTAGATGCTATTCAGTATCCATTTTAAGATGATTTATTGACATAATTTGCACATAAACATAACAAATATTTTTAGATTTATATTACCAAAGCATTTGCAACATTGCTGCGCACAATTACTAAAACTAAGGACCACAGACATAAAAAAACAGAAATACAAAATACGGAATAAAGTGGAGGAAAAATTGAGAAATTAAGCGTTTTGCATATTATACATTGAAAATATCAGAGTCACCTTTGGAAATTATTGGTAAGCAACAGTGATTTGCAAAGCTGCGCCATAAAGATCTTTTTATGTGCATGTAATAATAAATTCCATTAAACACATCCGATTCTCTCATAACGGCTGTGTATCAAAATGCATAAATGTAAAACGCTGAGCTAAGATAAGTGATTTTTAGAGTGATGGAGTGTATTATTGGATGGTGAAGTCAATCTCGGGAATGCTAATTCCTGGTAATGAACACTAGATGGCGCTCTGCTGCAGTATAGCTGTTTGAAACTCACTTTATGAATAAATCCGGCGGGTGTGTTTTTTTTTTTTTTCTTCACTTTATTTGTAAAGTGATGGGCTGTTTTGTGCCTATTACAATTCACTGTGGGAAACTGCACTTTTCTACTGAAATAATTATTAAAGTGATTTTTTTTTTAAGACAGTAAAACGGTGTTTTGGTATCAGACACCACTGTCATCCAAACATGAATTAACTGTAGCCTATTACATAGATGTCAAATAAGGTTTTTTAAAGGCTCTTAAAATATACATTTTTTTTCCTTCTGGAAGAAGTTACATAATAAATAACTATATATTATACTCTATAATATGTAGGGTTCAGTCACATGGCATTTAATCTTGGGTGCAGGTTAATAGAGGTCATGTGTGTTTTTGACAGATGAAAAGAGGAAATGTTCATCATAAAAAAGGATGTCTGTGATATCAAGAATATAGTTGAAACTCCTTAGAATGAACTTCTGAACTCTTGCAAGTGTTGAAAACAACAGTTTATCTACAGGATCACTGTAAAAGTATGTATCTTAATATTCAAGTACACTGTATATGTTATTTTCATTATTTGACAATAATACCCCTTTTATTTCAGATGATTTTATTTTCTAGCATCATCATTAATGGATTATGTGTTTTATTTTACATAAAAAAGAGGAAGTTAAGTTGTGGAAGTATTCTCAACCATATGCTATTCACACACACTCACACACTCATACTAATGCAAATTAACCACAAACGTCCAGTATCACACGTTCTCATGCAGAAGTTGTCTGTCCATCCAACAGATGAAACCACATTTCTTTCCCAGATCTAAAGAAAGCAGACCACTGCAGGTTTCAGTAACTCACAGTGTTGATTATATTCAGTGAATCACATTCATCACACATTCATGAGGGATAGAAAAAGGAAAATTGGCCCATTATTTACTCATCCTCAAGTCATCAGGTGTATATGACATTCTTCTTTCAGACGAATATAAATCAGAGCTATATTAAAGGGTTAGTTCACCCAAAAATGAAAATTCTGTCAGTATTTACTCACCCTCATGTTGTTCCAACCCCGTAAGACCTTCGTTCATCTTCGGAACACAAATTAAGATAATTAGGATATTAAAATCGCTCCTGCATACTAGTCCATAGGCTTCTTGAGGGAATGACTCTTGCTGTCCTCGAAAAGTAATTGAAGACATCGTTAAAATAGTCCAAGAGACTACAGGGGCTCAATCTTAAGTTTATCAAACGACGAGAACACTTTTGTGCGCAAAAAAACAACAAAAATAATGACTTTATTTCAACTATTCACTTCCTTCTCCATAAGCCTATAGTCCGTTAACGTAGTGTGATTGCGTAGAGCTACGTCACACGTAGGCTCACTATTGGTCGACGCTGGTCATGTGTGTGTGATGCGTGTGACGTACAATAACAGAAGCTTACGCTATTAAACTAGTTAGCTGACTCGCGCAGAGGGAGAAATAAACGAATAGTTGAAATAAAGTCGTTATTTTTGTTGTTTTTTTGCGCACAAAAGTGTTCTCGTCGTTTGATAAACTTAAGATTGAGCCCCTGTAGTCACTTGGACTATTTTAACGATGTCTTTTATGACTTTTCGGGGACGGCAAGAGCCAGTCCCTCAAGAAGCCTATGGACTGTATGCAGGAGCGATTTTAATATCTTAAATATCTTAATTCGTTTTCCGAAGATGAACGAAGGTCTTACGGGGTTGGAACAACATGAGGGTGAGTAAATACTGACAGAATTTTCATTTTTGGGTGAACTAACCCTTTAAGATATGTCCTGGCTATTCCAAGCTTCATAATGGCAGTGAATTGCTGTTTCTGTTTAAGTCTATAAAAGTGCATCTATCCAACATAAAAGTACATCTATCCATGATAAAAGTGCATCTGTCCATTATAAAAGTGCATCCATCCATGATAAGTGTATCTATCCATCATAAAAGTACATCTATTTATGATAAAAGTGTATCTATCCATTATAAAAGAGCATCTATCCATTATAAAAGTGCATCTATCCATTATAAAAGTACATCTATCCATCATAAAAGTACATCTATCCATCATAAAAGTGCATCTATCATTATAAAAGTGCATCTATCCAACATAAAAGTACATCTATCCATGATAAAAGTGCATCTGTCCATTATAAAAGTGCATCCATCCATGATAAGTACATCTATCCATCATAAAAGTGCATCTATCATTATAAAAGTGCATCTATCCATGATAAAAGTGTATCTATCCATGATAAAAGTGTATCTATCCATGATAAAAGTGCATCTATCCATGATAAAAGTGTATCTATCCATCATAAAAGTGTATCTATCCATGATAAAAGTGTATCTATCCATGATAAAAGTGCATCTATCCATCATAAAAGTACATCTATCCATTATAAAAGTGCATCTGTCCATCATAAAAGTGCATCTATCCATGATAAAAGTGCATCTATCCATCATAAAAGTGCATCTGTCCATCAGAAAAGTGCATCTATCCATCATAAAAGTGCATCTATCCATCATAAAAGTGCATCTATCCATCAGAAAAGTGCATCTGTCCATCATAAAAGTGCAAGATTGTGTGTGTGTGTGTATATATATATATATATATATATTTATATATATATATATATATATATATATATATATATATATATATATATATATACATTAGCAGAATATATATACATTATACATTAGCAGAAATAGCATACGCAGAAATAATATATATTAATAATATAATATAAAGAGATATATAAACAGAAAATAACATTACGCCTATATATACAAACAGAAAATTATTATTATATTTAAAAAAAAACAACACTTTTACTCTCAGCTTTTCCGCATATATTTATTTTAATCTTATTTCATTATTTATTTTAGTCTTATTAATTCATGAACTTACATTTTTTACTCAAAAACCAGTCACTCCTTTGTGGCCCCCTGAGGGTCCCGGGACCCCAGTTTGAAAACCCCAGGGCTAGTTCGGTCTAATAAATGGTGACTTTCTCTAACATTTAAATTTAGAAGATGTGTAGCCCCGATGACATGAAGATGATGTATAACGGACACAACATGGCAGATTTGCAGTTGTTTGTTGTCAAACACAAGTTTCCTACCAACAGAATCAAAATGAATAAACTCTATATGGTAGAACTCATAATGCATCTGTGTTTGTTTGTGTTTAACGTTATCAGCACAACATATTCAATCCCGGGGTTGAGTGCATTCTCACTGAAAGCAATTTTTTATGGGATCAATGCTCTGTGTGAAAGGGACTATTTCACATTTGGTATGATATTTGATATGATTTCTCAGTAATCGTAACATTCTTCATCAAACATCAA